TTATCTTAAGAAAAGAACCCAAATGACAATTTGAGCGTGCAAGTCAATATCAAAGGTCAAACAAGAAACAAAAAAGTCATGTCAATGCAAGTTCAACTTCATCAACTCCATCTACCCCTAATTCTGTTAGTTTAGGAGAAGACAGTGAATCGTTGATTTATCAAGATAGACCAATTGGTCAGAAGACTGTAAAGGAACGACTTAAACGTAAACAATGAAAAGATAAAGTTGACGAGACAACTATAACAAATCTCTTACAATAATTCAAGGTTCCTCTAGTTGAAATTGAGGATCAGAAGAAACAAGACAGAAAAATTATGTTAGAGCAACAAGTTATGATGATTCAACAAAGTCAAGAGAAACAAGAATTGGACATGATTGAGAAAGAAGAACAAATTATGAAAATGGATATTTCTAATTTAGATCCAATTTCTGCAGCGTATTTCCAAAATAGAAAGTTAGAAATTATACAAAAGAGGGGTTTTAATTTTTAATTAACTAGATTTATTTATTGTTTAATGTAATGTATTTTTAATTAACTAGATTTATTTATTATTTAATGTAATGTATTTTTAATTAAATATTTAAAAATTTATTAGTTATTTTAAATATATTGTTATAAAAGTGGTATCAATTCATAATATTTGTTTAAAGTTCTTCTAACACTTAACAACAATAAGTAGGATTAATTAATTGAAAAGATAACAAACATAATGAAAAAAAACATAAAAAACTTGAAAATTCTTATGACATAAAAAGTTCAGAGCTAATGATTTTACTCGTTACCATATTGTTCCCATAAATATTCAACCAAATCTTTTTGTAGTTGAGAGCTAGTTGCTCTATCCCTGATTCGATTATGAGTTTAAAGAAAATCATGTAGTTCTAGTATTTCACTATATGACACTGATATAAAGGAATTGACTTCACGTTCATGGTCAAATCCAGCGTTCATTTCTCCTTCATCCTCAATAATCATATTATGCAAGCTTTCATAATATTTGCAAGCATTTTTTCATCCCAGTATCGAACAGATCCACGTACAATTGCAAAACGAGATTGGAGCACCCCAAATACCCGCTCTACATCCTTTCTTGCAAACTTTTGCTTACTTGCAAAATATTTTCTTTTTACTCCTAATGGCCTTGGGATTGCCTTAACAAAAGTTGACCAATTAGGATAAATCTTATCTGTTAAATAGTATTTCATTATATATTCATGCCTATTAATTGTATAATTGATAGGAGCATTATGACCTTCAACAAGTACAGCGAAGATAGGTGACCGATCAAGAACATTAATATCATTTAATGATCCAGGCATTCCAAAAAAAGCATGCCATATCCAAAAATCTTGTGAAGTCATCGCCTCTAGAATTATAGTTGGTTCACGACAATAACCAGTATACATCCCATGCCATGCAATTGGGCATTTCTCTCATTTTCAATGCATACAATCAATGCTCCCTAACATTCCTGGAAATCCACGTTACTCTCTAATTGATAATAATCGACAACTATTGACCTCCTTTGGTGCCCTTAGATACCAATCATCAAAAATTTCTACGATTGCTTTGACGAAAGCTTTAAGACTTTCTATCGCAGTGCTTTCTCCAATTTAAAGATATTCATCAGTAAGATCTGCAAAAATATCATATGCAAGTATTCTGTGTGCTGCAGTTATCTTTTGAAGACAAGATAAACTAAGAGCACCAAGAGCATCTGTCCTTTGTTTGAAATATGGATTATGAGCTTCTACTGCATTTACGATCCGAAGAAAAAGACGACGACTCATTCTAAATCTTCTTTGAAATTGAGTTTCAGTGAATTTAGGATTTTCAGCAAAATAATCATTATATAACCTTAACTCACCTTCCTTTCTATTATGATTGCCAATATTGTGGCCAACAATAGAGCCATGATACCCTGTTCTCTGCCCTTGATTATTCAATTCTTCTTCAGCAACCACAGCAGCAGCAACTTGAAAAGCGAACATAAGAGTGTCATCATCAAAATCAAAAGTATTATAAAAATTAAAATTAGAATAATTCATGATGAATTTTAATGAAA